CAAGCATGGGCCACCGTAGCTGGCTCTTGCATTTTGCATCCTGAACTTTCTTTTTTCCTTTGGAGACAAACTCTCGCTGTGTAGCCCAGGCTGGCCTGGATCCTCCTGCCTCAGTGTTCTGGGTACTGGGACCTAGTAATCATTTAAGTGAAATACTTGTAAAGCAAGTGCTACCAAATATCTGCCAGACATGCTGGTGTGACTAGAAACTGCATCGCTAGGTCCATCAGACCTCCTTGAAGATTTGTCTACGGCAGTGATGGTGAACGTTTGTGAGTGTTCAGGGATATAAACAGCCTGCTGTGCCACGCATGCTACAGGTTCACCATTGCTGCTCTAAGGGGTGGGTGTAGCTCAGTGTGGAACACCTGAGGTCCTGGGTTCGAGCCCCAGCACCGCAGGGGGTTTGGATTTGTATAAGGACTAGAAAAAAGTGACACCCTAAAACCTGTAGTTGCCCTGGGAGTGAGCCAATGTCAATCAATCAACATCAGCCACGTTTTAATAATGCTCAGGCTCAGGGTTTTGTTCTTGTTTTTGTGTTTTGGTGCTGAGGGTCAAGTGCCAGGCCAGCGTTCTAGCTGTGGACCGCACCCTGCCCACTGCAGTGTCTCTTGGGGGAGTTCTATAGGAGAGGGCTTTTTAAGTTCAAGCATTCATTTATCCATTCCCTTGTTCAATAAACCTCTCTGAACTAGGGGCAGGGTGGCACATACTTAGGACCGTGGCACTGTCGGAGGCTGAGGCAGGAGACGCAGCAAGTTCCAGCTCAGTCCAGGCAATTTAGTGATTCAGCCAGATCCCGTCTCAAATCAAAAGGGACTGGGGATTTAGCTCAGGGCAGGGGACCTGCACTCAAACAATGAACAAACAACTCAGAGCAAACAAACAAAAACCCCAAAACAAACTATGGCTTGTGTCTGGATGTCCCCTCAAAGCCTCAGGCGGTCGTAGGTGGAGCTTTTCAGAGGCGGCTGGATCTAGAGTGCGGGGTGCTGGGATTCAATCAGGCTGGATTGGTTTGTAGTTCTGGGTGTGGAGGTGGGAAGGCCCGCCCTAAGGGCAGGGAGCCGAGGTGGAGTGTAAGGAACAGAGAGGGGGCTGCTGTTGCTGTTGCTGCTTCTCTGCTACTTCTCTGCTTTGCTGCCCTCTGCCCACCGTGAACTGCCCCGCTCTGCCCCACCACGCTGCTGTGGGGCCAGCCGATTGTAGACTGAAACTCTACAAACTTTGATCCAAGTAAACCTTCCCTCCTTTCACTTTGGGTGTTGGGTATTTTGTCTGAGCAATGAGGAAAGTAACTAAGACAGAAACACACACATGAAATCCCACCTTTCTTCTTTAGGAGCTACAGATATGGAATCAAGGATGGTGCTCTTGCCGGGCGTGGTGGTGCATGCCTGTAATCCCAGCACTTGGGAGGCTGAGGCAGGGGGATCCTTGCAAGTTTGAGACCACCTTGAGCTACAAAGTGAGCTCAAGGCCAGCCTGAACTGCATAGCGAGACCCTGTCTAAAAAGACAAAAATGGGGCTGGGGGGATAGCTCAGTGACAGAAGCACTTGCCTGGCAAGCGCGAGGTCATGAGTTCAACTCAAAAATAAAAAAATAAAAAAAAAATGAAATAAAAAGAGAGAAACAAAAGGACAGTGCTTCTGTCTTCAGCTAACTCACGTCTAATAGAAAAGACAGTCTCTGTGTTGCTTTTAGAGACAGTCTTACTACGTAATAAGGCTCACTTAGTAGTAGTTGCTCCCAGGGCAACTACAGGTTTTAGGGTGTCACTTTTTTCTAGTCCTTATACAAATCCAAACCCCCGGCGGTGCTGGGGCTCGAACCCAGGACCTCAGGTGTTCCACACTGAGCTTACTACAGGCTGGCCTTAAACTATGTAGCTCAGGCTGGCCTCAAACCTTCAGTCCTCCTGCCTGAGCCTCCCAAATGCTAGGGTTACCAAGCCAGGTTCAGGCGGGAGTCTTGAAGGGTTCAGCAAGCGTGGCCGCGAAAGAGTTCAAGACAGAAAAACAGTATGAACTGCTGGAGGTGTGGCTCAGACATGGAGCCTGTGTGTTCAGGGCCCTGGGTTCAGTCTTGTGTACACACACATGCACACACACACTCATGAACTCACACACAGCCAGAAAAGAGCACGAAACACTCAGGGAGCTTCATTTCAGAATGACAGCACATGGGGAGCGAGAAATCGGATACAGAGCTGCGGGGAGGGTCAGACCCAGCAGCAGCCGGCTGCCCTGCTGTCTGTTAAAAGTTCCCCAGCTTGTACACTATGGGAGCTGAAAGAGGAGGCAAAAAGCCAGAAGCAAACCGGACATTAAGATCACGGTAAGGCTGGGCGCGGTAGCACACACCTGTAATCCCAGTACTCCGGGAGGCTGAGGCAGGAGGATTGCAAGTTTGAGCCCAGCCTGGGTGACTTAGTGATTTAGTGAGACCCTATCTCAAAATAAAAAATAAAAAAGGGCTGGGGATGTAGCTCAGTGCAAAAGCACTGGGCTCAATCCGCAGTACTCCGCCCACCCCACGAGAAATCAGGATGTGTGGGGGTGAGGCTAAGGAAGATTTACTGGGCAGAGAAGACAGAGCACAGGCCCTGAGCAGAGAGGCTGCCGGCTGGGGCTCCAGCATCCTTGAGGATGGCTGTCTAGGGTGTTTTACCTAACAGTGCGCTTTGAAAGCTTGGACTCTGCTTCTTTACTAGAAGGTCAGGTTGTTGCCTTTCACCTTATCAAGAGGTTTAGAAGATTTTTACAGGGTTTGGGTGTTGCTGGGCCTGGCAGGGAAAACACCAAAACGCGCAGTTTGCCTTGTCTCTGTCTCCTTTCCACCTGTCTTAAGTCTCCTGTCCGACCTCAACATCATTTTAGCCTGTCCGCAACCTTACAGCATGGAGAGGACTATTATTCTACTGTGTAGCAATGGGGTTGTGAGGGATTTGTTTGCACAAAGTTACAGAGGAAGTCAGTTGAAGATACAACTCTCAGGCACAGCTCTTCTGACTAACAGTGTACTGAACGCCCTAACTCGCTTGTTCGTTTTTTCGAGACAGGGTCTCTGTAATTCAGTCTGGCCTTGAACTCACCCTGTAGCCCAGGCTGGCCTTCAACTTGCAGCGATCCCCCTGCCTCAGCCTCCTGAGTGCTAGGATTGCGGTGTGGGCCTCCACTCCCAGCTGGATGCGTTTCTAGTAACCCCTCAGCTCTACATTCAACTGTTTTGTAATCAACGCTGTCATGGAAATAAAAAAAGATTATAGGTTCAGATCAGAACCCTGTCTACGAGCCACAGCAGCACTGTTAGGTGGCAACAGCCTGGCAATTAGATTCTAGTTTCCGGTTTTAATTATGCCTCTAAGCACCTATGTGATTATATTTTATTAGATAATAACAGAAACCCAGCTCAAACAAACCTACACACAGAGGGAACTTTATCGGCCCATGAAATCCAAGGAAAGATTGAAAAAAACCGCATCGGAAAAGGCCGACTGCCACGGGGTTTATATTCTTCAGAAAATTAAATTAAGCAGAACGTCCTTTCCGCAGTGCTGGGGATGGAACTTAGCGGCGGGACCGCTGGGTCTGAGGCCATCGATTCCCCCGGGGTCCCGTCTCTGGCTGCACTCGCGGTTTGTCTCCCTGCCTAGAGTGTGAATGCCTTTTTGTGAGACACAGCCGGGGATGGGCTCGGATCTGCATGGAGACCTGAATTCGGACGAAAGAGCTGAAGTTTTCCTAGTTCCCAAAGCTCACTCAAATCTCCGCCCCTTCCTCCAGGCCCTGGCTGGGCCCTCGGTCAGGCGCGCATGCTCTCTCATCCGATGACTCCGCCGGCCTTCTAGGTATCTGCCTGGCCCTCAGTCTCCGGCTTCACCTGATTTCCTCCCAGTTCTCTCTCCAAAGTGCGTTCTGATGACGTCACTGGCAGTCTGCGAGGGCTCCCACCAGCTGTGTGTGGTGGCACACACCTGAGGCTGAGGCAGGAGGATCACTGCAAATTCGAGGCCAGCCTGGCTTACACAGTGGGAGCCCTGCACACAAAATGAAAGCCCTAGCTTGGTAGTCAAGTCTTTACAGTCCGATCCTATACCCCATTTCCTGTCACCCTCCGACTCTGTGTCCTATGCACTGTTATCGAATATATCTTTGCTTATTTCTACTTCCTATCTTTGTTTTCTCCTCCTAAGAAAGCCTGTGTGTGTGTGTGTGTGTGTGTGTGTGTGTGAGAGAGAGAGAGCCAGGATTGAACCCAGGGCTTTCACACTGAGCTACATCCCCAGCTCTTTTAAGTCAGGGTCTTGATGGACTCAAACTTGTGATTCTCCTGCCTCAGCCTCCCGAGTGCTGGGATTACAGGCCTGTGCCACTACACTGGGCCAGCAGCCCTTTATTTTTTGAGACAGGGTCTTGCTAAATTGCCAGGTGGGATTCAAACTTGAGCCCTTCCTGCCACAGCCTCCCAAGTGTGAGCTTTACTCTTCTCTGGCGGCAGCCCATCACGTGGAGTGAGAGGAAAAGAGAGTAACTTTCTCTGCGAAGTTAAAGTATTTCTAATAACGTCAGGACACGGGCCATTTTCCAGCCTGTTTCTTGGAAGTCATTCACATTTGTTAATTATAGACATTCGCCTTACCTGAAGTAACTTTCTGGAATTAAGAGTTCATCCGCTTCGTAATAAAACTGTTCTCTCTGGAAGTCAGGTTTGTAACCTGTGAGACAGGAAACCTAAGCTTCTAACTCAGCCTGGGGCTTCGCGAACCACGCCCCGCGCGGCTCCGTCTCCCCGCGCCACTCCGCGGCGCACGCCCTCAGCACACGCACGGCTGCCGCGGCACCCGAGCCCGAAGGCACCCGGCCCCGCCCCCAGCTGGCCCCTTGGCAGGCCACGCATCCTGGCTGGGTCCGGCACCTACCGCCAACCTCGCCACCCGTGGGCAATCGGCACGTGGCTTTCCGGATGTCAGCCGCCCCGGCCGCTCTGTAATTACTCATTAACGACCGCGGTCGCACGGCGCTCCCGTGGCCTCCATCCATCATTCACCGCTTGGCTCGGTGCCAACAGGATGTCCGGCCGCTCGCTCACCCGTGCAGCCCAGGAGCGCACCGGGATCGCGGCCTCTCCGAGGCGGGTCGGGCCGAGCGAAGCCCGCAGCCCCGGCGCCCTCGCTCCGACCCGGGGCTGCGGGTGCCGAAGGGGGTACGCCGGGTGGGGCCCGAG